CAGCTGATGATGCTCCAGCTTCTTCTGCTGCCTCTGTTTCAGCTGACGATGCTCCAGCTTCTTCTGCTGCTTCTGCTCCAGCTGATGATGTTCCAGCTTCTTCTGCTGCTTCTGCTCCAGCTGATGATGTTCCAGCTTCTTCTGCTGCTTCTGCTCCAGATGATTCTGCTCCAGATGATGATGTTCCAGCTTCTTCTGCTGCCTCTGCTCCAGATGATGATGCTCCAGCTTTTTTTGCTGCCTCTGCTCCAGCTTCTTCTGCCGCTTCTGCTCTGGATGACTCTGCTCCAGATGCTTCTGCTGCCTCTGCTCCAACTTCTTCAACTGCTTCTGCTCCAGCTGCCCCTGCTCCAGGGCCCCATGCCTGTGTCCCAGCTCCTGGGACTGTTCCTGAGCTGTGGGGCCAGGCCACTGCTTCTTCTTGCTGCTGCCAGGGTTCCTGCAAAGAAATTTGGGAGTCAGCACCCAAAAAAGGGCTGCTTGGGAATGCCCTGGGCCCCTCTGGGTGCACCCAGAGCCTTTTCCTGCAGCCTGAAGGATGAGAACACCCAGAGAGGTTCACTGCTGATTTCTGACAGAAGGTTTTCAGCAGGAAATGTTTTCTGTACCCATCAAGGTGATGCCTTGGGTTTTCACTTTCTAATTTTTCAGAATCTCTGCTGCTTAATGTGTAACTCTGAAACTTTATGTTAGGTGTTAGTAAGTTCTCCTCACAGAGTAGTTGGACAAAACAATCCCTTTCTAGCTAGAGAATCAAGGACAATCAGTATCCAAAAGCAGAAACAACGGCGAGGGAAAGGGGGAAAGCCAGGGGCTGAGATTTCATAACCTGGGGCTGTGGTTGGAAAATTAACCCAAATGTGCAGATGAACCAAAACTTATAAAAGTGTAACAACTCATGACCAGGATCCATCTTGGATTTGATCTGAGTGTAGCCCCAGCCAGGCTCCTGCACTGTCCAAGGTGGATCCTTTCAGTAAATACCGATTTTATTCCTTTTGCTCTGCCCAGTCTCTGTTCCAGGTCAGCCTCTCCAGGCATCAGAGGGAGGAGGGGAAGGAGCCATAGCTGTGCCAAAGCTGGCACTGGCTCCCAAATGTGTCCTGGAGATGCTTTGGGAGCTCCCCCACAACCAGAGGTCACATCCCAGCTGGGGGAAGCTCCTCCCTGCATGCCCTGATCCAGGAGAAGCCCAGGAGCAGTGGCGGAGTCTCCACCTCACTCTCATGGAAGAGCTGCATCACTTAGCACTCCATTCCCTGAAAATTCCAAGCTGGAGAACATTCCAGCCCCACTGGGATGCAGCTCCCACCCTGCCAGGACGTCATCTTATCCCTACAGGCACAGCTTTGCACAAGAGCTTCACTTGTTGGCATTTTGGCTCTGAACAACTTTCAGAGAGGTTTGGGGTTTTTTTTTCGCCCTCCCAGAGCTGGCAAAGCCCTGGGTGAGCTGCAGCTTGTAAAAATCGAGCTGGAATTGTTTCCAAAGGGAGGGAGCAGCTCCTTGAGGCTGCAGCTCAGGGCACAGCCAGGGGAAGGAGCAAACACCTACCTGGGCACTGCCAGGGGGGGCTGGCTCGGGCGGGGCTGGGGATGCTTCACCAGCTGCTCCTGGGGCTTGGCTGGGGTGCTGCCTTTTTTCCTGAGGAGATCTGAGCCCAAATTCTTCACTTCACAGCTGCTTTTGAAAGGAATTTTAAAGACAATTCCAGATGTTTTCACAGGAAAAATTGAGTTTTTCACTCACTGAGTGATCACATCAGCTCTTTGCACACCCAAGAAAGGGGGCCTGGGGGTTTTTCCATCCAGTTCTAATCCCAGCATGGTTTGGGTTGGGAAGGACCTTAAATCCCATCCAGTCCCATCCCTATCATGGGAGGGACACCTTCCCCTATGCTAGGCTGCTCCCACCTGACTTTGGACACTTCCAGGGACGGAGAAGCCACAGATTTTCTGGGAATGCCAACCCAGCCCATCACCACCCTCATAGGGAAGGATTTCTTCCCAATATCCCACCTAACCCTGCCCTCTGTGGGTTTTAAAACATTTCTCCCGTGCCCTGGCTCTCCCTGGGTGTTCTCCCAGCTCCCACCTCCCCTCCTGGAGCCACCCTGAGGTTCCTGACTTTGGCCAGCAGCTCTCCTCACTCCTCCAACACCCACACTCACTTTTTCAGGGCTCTCTTCTGCAGATCCTGGATGTAGTTGGTTCTCTCTATGGGATGCCCTCGACACTTGTTGAACACTGGGGAGACACAGAGTTACCCCAACACAAGTTTTGGTTTTAGTTTGTAACTGGGTAGAAACACTAATAAATGTAGTGGTTTTGCTTTATTAATTTGGATTTTTTTTGTTGTGAGATAGGATTAGGAGGAAGGCAATACAGGTTTAACTCTAACTTTATCACTAGAAACTAAGAAAAAAACCCTTAGAATAATACTTTAGACTACTTCTTTTTTTTCTACACTTTTTTTTATACTGAAAATGTATGGAAAATAATTTAGTTAGTTTACTATTTTTAAAACAGTTTTTTACTAATTTACTTCGAAGTTTTTTACTAATTTACTTGGAAGAGGAGATTTCCCTCTTTTATTTTTTAATAAGAAATAGTTTTTTTGTGGTTTTGATGTTACAGTCTGGGAGAATGGAATTTTGACTATTACATTTTTTTTTTTAATTAACAGATCTTTTTAATAACTATTATTGAGGACTATATTAACTTACGAGGCACTTTTTAAGTATTATAATAGTTTAAACAAAAGTTTATTTTATTTTTGAAAACAGAGGTTTCTTGGGTTTTTTTTTTACTATTTATATATTTAGGGGATCATAGTAATTTTAACATTTGTTTATTTTAAACACTAATGTTTTTACTTATAGTTAGAACAGTTGTATTTCCTTTATAATATTTTTATGTGTTATAGGGGAAAAAGAGGGTTTTTTTTACAGTGTAAAAAAAGAGACATTCTGGTTTATGGTTTGGTTTTTTTTTTTTTTTTTTTTTGGTAAAGATTTCATGAAATCTTTAGAAACCACCACAACAAGTCATCCCTCAGGACTGCTGAGCAACTGAAACCCTCCAGAAGGGATTTAACCCCTTCACCCAAGCACAGTTCCCTCCCTGGAGCCACCCCAAACCTCCCTGAACATTCTCCATGCCAGCAGGACACTCACACTCTATGGCAGCATTTGGGTCCATGCCTTCAACATCAATCAGGTACCTGCACAGAGCAGCAGGAAATCTCTAGTTACACAATTAATTATGAAAACAATGAGGGGTTGGTGATGATTCAAACAGGAAAAAAAAACCACTGGGGAGTTGTAAACCCTTCATTTACTTTATTTAATGTAGGATCAGCATTTACTGCTGGATTTTGGGGTGAAAAACACCCCCTAACAAAAGCTGTAAATCCTTGCAAGTCTGGGATTACACAAATCACTGCACTCTTGTTTCCTGCTGGCAATGGCATCACGGAACCCCAGCTGAGCCAGAACTCACCTACACACCAGGTAGCCAGTCCTGTTCAAGCCATGAGTGCAGTGCACCCCGATGAGTTTATCTGGAACACACACAGGGGATGTTCAGCTGCTTTTCCTCCCAAATCTCTCCAATCTCCCCAAAATCTGCATCAGCCCTCCATCAGTGACACCAACACAATGAACAGAAGCAACCACACACGTCACCATGGCTATGTCTAATTAGCACTCAGCTCATTAATTCTGGCAGCTCATCTGCACAATCTCAGAGCTCTAACTCAATTAAGGCTCAAATCATCAGAGAATCCTGCAATGGTCTGGGTTGGAAAGGACCTTAAAGCCCATCCAGTGCCAGCCCTGCCATGGCAGGGACACCTTCCACTGTCCCAGGCTGCTCCAAGCAGCCCAACCTGGCCTGGATTATCAGAGGAAAAATCCAATTTATTGCCTTGAAATTCCCATGTAGAGAGAAGGGAAAGAAATTCCTGCTGGCCCATCCCAGCAGCAGCATAGTCAGGGAGATCCATGCTCACCATTGTCTTTGTTGGCTGTCAGAAACCTTTTCACAAGGTATTTGAACCTCAAAATGGTTTTTCTGTTTGGGATCTCACGCCCCATGGTCAGGATCTTGGAGTAGCGCAGTGTGGGTGGCAGCTCCTACAGGAAAAAAACTCCATCACTTCCAGAAAAAGCACAAGGATTCTTATTCATTAAAGAATTCCAGGTAATAAACCAGGAGAAGATGAGTTTTCTCACCAAGCCCTAAAGAGCAGCTACACAGTTTGTTACAAAGATAGAGGTGTAATAAAAAAAAAGATATTTTATAAATATATAATATAAAGTAAGTATAAATATATTTATAAAACAGTTTAAACCCTGCTACTCTAGCAGTAACTTCTATAAGTTCCCAAGCAAAAAGAACTTCAGAAATGAAAAGCCAATTAATACAACATACTATTCTAGTAAGAAAATAATTGTGCACCTGCATAAACTAAAGATCTGTCCAATAAAAATCAGTAAAAAAAGATGTAAAAATCAGTAGATGTAGAAGATCAGTAAAAAACATCTAAGTAAAAGAAAGTCTTCTAGCACTTACACACAAAACACCTTTAAACCAATGAGTTAGGGGGCAAGAAAACTATAACCAATAAGAGTTTCAACACAAAGTCTGTAAAAACTGTATAAAATGAGTTATGTAAATTAAAAATTCAATTTTCCTGCATGAAAAAGCTGAGTCCCAGCTAGGCTGTTATAACACACAGGTTTAGGTAAGGAAAGTTTCACTCCCTGGACAGAGTACCAACATTCTGGATTATTCCTCCTGCCTTTGCTCTTTTTTCTCCTGAGGCTTCACCTCACCCCCCGCCAGAGGATTCCAGCCCCTCCCATTCTCCCAGGTGTTACATATAGATAAAACATTATTTAAAAAAAAGCCTTATAAAACATAATTTAGGCCTTGCTATTCTAACTAAGCTAGCCTGTGGAGTTCCCATAAAAAAAGAATCATAAGAGTAAGAATCATAACAATCATTACATAACAATTAGTTTTTCTGTGACACACTCTACTCCTGCAAAAATAAAAAATCTATCCTGTGAGAGCCCATAGAGAAAAAAATATAAACATACCTAAACCAAAAAAAAATAAACATACCTAAAAAGAAAAACCATAAACATACCTAAGAAGAAAAAACTTTAATAGGCATATACACCAGCCATTAGCAACCGATCAGCTACATTTCAATGATTTAGTGACCCACGAAATTCAAATTTCTGATACCATTATAGTGGTTTTGGTTCACTAATTTGAAATTTTTCTGAGATAGGATTAGGAAGAAGGCAAAACAGGCTCAATTTTACAAGGTACAAAGATGTAAGGGGGAAAAAATGTAACTGTAAGAAAAAACAGTAAGAAAAAAAACATGCAAAGAGAAGCTTCATTAGTAGAAACTATAAGAAAAAACTCTAAGAAAAAACCAAGCAGGTAAAAATTTCAGGAAACCTTTACAAACCACCACATACCATATAAAAATAAACTAGTCACAATAAAGATTCAGCTATCCTAGTCCAAAAAAAGACAAATATTTTGTNCTGGAAAGGTATTTTTGGCTTACTCAAATTTATTTACAGCAGAGGATTGACTGTGAAATATTGTAGTCTAAACCCAAAGCCACAGGAAGAGCAGCTGCTGTTTCTGAGCCCTCACCTCACGCCCGTAGTAACGTGTGGTGTATGTCAGGTCAATGATCAGCCCCAGCTCCTCCTTCCTCTCCTCCACCTTCCTGATGAGGTCATGAGGGGAAAATCTGTCTTCTGGCAGAAGATTCTGATCAAAACTCTGCAGGGAAGGATGTTTTAAAACAGTTATTAAAATCTGGCTGTGCTGTGATGGGTGGGGAGAGGCTGCTGCTCTGGAGTGTCCTGGAGATCAGGGTAAGGAGCAAAGGCTGCAGCAGGAGAAAGCACAGCTTGATCACTGAATCCTGGGATGGTCTGGGCCGAAAAGGACATTCAAACTCACCCAGTTCTATGGACAGGTGTTATAAGTACATATCATTGGCTTTTCACAAATATTAAAATGACTGCTATAATGTGTAATGTTGGAAAACTTTGCTGAATGAATACAGCTCTTTCAGTTCTGCTATTAACAAAATTTAGAAATAGTAGTGTGATAAATATATTTTTTTGACTTTTGTTCATGTAACTAACTCAGAGAATTGTAAAAAGATAATCAGGAAATTCTTCACACTCTTGGATTATCCTGTCTGGATGAAGACAGGGGTGACAAACACCAGAACTCCAGGGAAAGGATTTATTGATTTCTGTTATCAGGGAGTGCACCGACAAGAAGGAGCCACAAGGGAAAAAAATTTTGATTTACAGGTGGGGGGGTGATTTTGAGTAATGCATGAAACTCTATGAATATGCAACAGCTGGATGCATTTAACGAAGTGTTCTGAGTTAAGGTGTGCTCTTGGCAGAATGCCCAGCACTCGGCCATTGTCATCTTTTGTTTTATTGTCTCTTATTGTCTTTCATTAACCTTTTTAAAAATCTACCAGGAAATTGGACCTTGTTTTTCACAACAGGGACGTGCTCAGGGCCTCAGAGCTTTGGGGCAGCTCAGCTGAGAGTTCCCAGGGTTGAGTGAACACTTGAACCCCGCAGTGACAAACACATCCAGGCACTGCAGCTTTCCTAGTGGAAGCTGGAAACCAGGGATTCAGCTCAAACACAGGGAATCAGAATCACCGAGGCTGGAAAAGCCCTTCAACACCATGGAGTCCCCGCTGTGCCCCATCCCCACCTTGTCCCCCCAGCACTGAGTGCCACCTCCAGGAGCTCCTTGGACACTTCCAGGTGTGGGGACTCCAAACCTCCCTGGGCAGTTCCAAGGCCTGACCACCCTTCCCAGGAACAAATTCCTCCTGATGTGCAGCCTGAGCCTCCCCAGGCACAGTTTGGGGCCATTTTCTCTCCTCCTGTCCCTGTTCTCTGGGAGCAGAGCCAAGGCCCAACTGCTTCCACACTTGTTTTAGGTCCCTTAGTTTTCAGATTCTGTGCTGCCTAGGCATATAGGTCTGAGCTTGCTAAGTGTTAGCAAGTTCTCTTCACAGTTTAGTCAGACAAAACAATCCTTTTCCAGACTGAGAACCAAGAACAACCATTACAGCTTCAGGCCCAAAAAACATAAACAACAAGGAAATGAAGAGAGCAAACAAAGAGGATGAAACTTCATAGTCTGAAGCTGGAATTGGACAATTAACCCCAATATGCAAATGGACCAAAACTTCTAAAAGTGTGAAAACTCATGGCCAGGATCCATCCTGTAGCCCTGGCCAGGTACTTGTACTGCCCAAGATGTATCCTTTAAAGGCCTTTTAATAAATACCTGCTTTATTCTTCTAGCTCTGTCTAGTCTCTGTTCCAGCTCAGCCTCTCTAGGCATCACACTGAGCCCTCACAGCCCCCACTGCCAAAATCCAGCTGTGGCACTCGGCAATTCCCTCAAGGAATCCCCATCAAGCCACACTTTCCCACAGCTGCCACCCACCCCAAAGTGCCCCAGGACCCCCCGGCCCCTCACCTCCTTCAGGGGCACCTTGAAGGCGACGAAGCGCGTGCCTGGCATTCTGCGGCCCAGCGGGATGTAGTCGGTCCACCTGGGCCCAAAGACGTGTGAAAACAGGCCAGAGAGCCCCGGGCCGGGCCCCTCGAGCACCCTCAGACCCAGGAACACAAATCCCCCCGGCTTAGGAAGCATCACTTCACCGATGAGCCTCAATCTCCCACTGGCATCAGACCCTCACAATCCCTCACGTCCAGGGACCCCTGGTCTGCCAAACCCCCAGTCCTGGGGATCTCAAACTCTGTCCAGCCCAGGGACCTTCAAATTCCCTCCAGTCCTGGGGACCCTCAAGCCTAGAGCCCCCAGATCTCCACCAGACCTGGAACTGCCAAACCCTCACTGGGCCCGGAACTCCCAAATCCCCCTTTCAAACCTCAACTGAGCCTGGGACTCCCAAATCCCCACTGGCTCAGGGACCCTCAACACCCACCCTGGGCAGAGATCCTCAAGCCTCCCCAGGCCCGGGGACCTTAAAACCCCCCAGCCCCAGAGACCCCCGTCCCCCACGACACCCATGTGACGGTGCCAGGCAGCGCCGCCACTGCCCGGTCCCGGCCGGTTTTGGGTCCCTCCCAGCAGCCGGGAGCCTCCGGCCGGGAGGGGCGGCGGCGCCGCACTCAGGCCGTGCTTGGGCCGCGCTAAGGCCGCGCTCACCGCTCCGGGACACGGCAGGCACCTCTGCCCGCCATGATGGCGACGGCGCTGCGCCCGCGCGTGACGTCACTTCTGATCAGTGTGTAACGTCACTTCCGCGCCGACCGCGCAGACCCGCGAAGCCACGCGAGGCCCACGCCCCCAGGCGGAGACCACGCCCATCGAGGGGCCACGCCTCCCGAGCGGCGCCCTGGGGCTCTCGCTCCGCGTAGCGGTCACAGGCGGTACTGCAGCCCCGCAGTGGCACTGCCGCCGGCGCCACCGAACCGGCACCGAACCGGAGCCACCGAACCAGCACCGAACCGCCGGCACTGAACCGGCACCGAACCGACACCGAACCGGCAACCGAACCGGAGCCACCGAACCGCCGACACTGAACCGGCACCGAACCGACACCGAACCGGCAACCGAACCGGAGCCACCGAACCGGCACCGAACTGGTACCGAACCGGAGCCACCGAACCGGCACCGAACCGAAGCCACCGAACCGGAGCCACCGCACCTGGACCAAACAGGGACTGAACAAGTGTCACAGCACTGGGACCAACCCAACATCGCTGCTCGAGGACCAAAGCAGTGCCACCACACTGGGACCGAACCAGTATCACCACTGCAGTACCAGCCTCACTGGCCCAGTACCAGCACTAGCATCACCATCCCAGTACCAGTACCACCATCATGACTCCAGTGTGAGTGTCTCTGCTGGTACCGGTATCACTGCCGCAGTCCCAGCAGCCCAGTTCACTTCAGCACCTTGGACTGGGATCCCTCTCCCACGCCAGTACTGGTACCAGAACCCCTGACTTGGTCCTGGTATCCCCAGGAGCGCTGTCCCTAAAGAATGCTGGTAGTCCCAGGATCAGCATCCCCAAACATATCCTGGCATCAACATCCCTGGAACCAGCATCCCTACCCCATTCCCACAAGTATCCCACAAGTGCCACCCTGAGGGACAACCCCACGGGCTCCCCGTCACGGCCACACTGTTCTGGCATGGCTCAAACACAGATGGGAGCAGCAGTTCCCGGCTGCCAGGAAGAGAGAGAACAAAACCAACCCCAAAACATCCTAAAATCATCCCCTCCCACCACTGGTGGGAACGTGTGGCAAGGCCACTGGTGGCACTCCATCCCTTCCCCTTGGACATTAAAATCACCTCCACCCCCAAAAGTATCATTGTTGGGATGGAAGAGTGTTGGCCCTGCAAAAGATCCTGGATATGGAGGAATCACCACGGGAAATCATGGTGGGAGTGGGAAATGATTGTGGGGATGGGAAACCATCATGGACATGGAAGTCTATGGCAAAACCTCGTGGGAATAGGGAAATCCAGGTTGGGGTTAGGAAATCACCGTGGGAACGGGAAATCGAGGTTGTGGTTGGGAAATCATCATGAGGATGGGAAATCATGGTGGGAAATCATCCCCATCACTGCCCCAGCAGCAGTGTGGGCAGCCGGGGCTCCCTTGCCATGTACAGACACACACACACATAAACGAGCCGTGCTGAAAATCCCAGGCTTTCCTGACCCACGATGGGACAAGCCGAGCAGGGACAGGATTTTCCTGTCCGCAACGTCCCATTCCCAAGCGGGTGGTGAGGACCAGCCTGGAAAAAAAGCTGCTGGGCGGAAAGCCCCTTTTCCAGAGGGAGGGGAACCACCCGCATTAGCATCAACGCCGGGGAGACGGAGCCGTGGGCAGGCGGCGCTGGGGAAGGGCCGGTCCGACCCGCCCGGCCGAGCAGGGTCCCTGCTCTCGGGATGCCCCGAGGCCGCCTGGGCACAGCGGGGCTGCTCCCCCCGCACCAAGAGATCAGGTTGAACCTCCTGCGCTTCCAGCCGAGCCTGTAATTAGCGCTCGACCCATGCCGGCGAGTAGGATCCGGGCCCTGGGAAGGAGCCGCGGCCGCCTCGGGGTGTGAGACAGGCGCTGGCTGAGGCTGGAAAACTCATCTCACACCCGGCCGGCGAGTGGGCAGCAGGGTCCCTCTCCACGTGTTCTTGTTGCTACCCCAGATTTCGAGATGCTTTTCCAAAGAGTGATTCTGACCCCCGAGTTTCCCATCCACACACGAGGATCCCCCCACAAGGGCTTTCCCACTCCCCAAATGATGCCCAAAATCCCATATCCCTCCTTCCAAGGTGGCTGTGGTGGAGCACCCTCCAGCCCAAGGACGGGGGATTCACCATCCCCCCGTCTCTCTCCCCAGAACCTCGAGGAAGCTTTGCCATGGGTTTGGGGAAAGGCCTTGACAGCGGGGTCCCAGCGGCGGTGACTCAGGGATGCCGAGGGTTGCGAAACAGGCCTGGGATGGTTTGGGAGACGCCTCCACGCAGCCCCGCCAAGCCCTGCCGCCCCGGGGAGCCCGTGGGGGGAACAAGCCACGGCAGCGTCTGGGCTTTGTGCGGTGGCTGACCCGTCAGGCAGGTTTCCCGGAGCAGCAGCCCAGCCGGAGCGAGCCGTCCGGGGCCGGGAATGCTCCTCCGCCCGTTCGCAGGCTGAAGGAGCCCCCGGCTCTCTGCTCGCCACGGCCGGAGCCATGCGGGCGGTCGGGCTGCTGCTGGCCTGGGCACTGCTGCATCCCGCTGCCAGCCAGCAGTGCCACCCCTCCAGCCCCGGCGGCGTCCTCCGCTTCACCGACAGGCACGCCGAGATCCGGGTGCCGGCGCTGCACCGCGTGCCCAGCTCGCTCGATCCCCTCTATGGCCTCGTCCGGCGCTGCCTGGACCTCATCCAGCAAAACCCGCTGCCTACAGGTGAGCCCCGAGCTGGGGAGCCGCGACCCGCGGGTGCCGGGACCTCACACCCGGAGCGGCTCCAGGAGTCCCCAGGAGTTCAGGAAGAGAATTCCGCCTCTGTCCCGGTGCTGCTGCCCCAGGAAGGTTGGGGATGCATCGGGTGGGGCCTCGTCTACCTGTACCATGATTTATTTTTTTCCAGAGCTGCTCAGGACAGCCCTGAATGACCCCGGCTCGTTGCGGACGTCGCAGGTGAGCGGGGACGCGGGGCGGGGGTGCCATGGATATGTTCCCCACCTGGCACAGGGCACCTGGGCACCCGGAGCGGCCCGAGCTCGGTGCAGAGGTGCCGACGAGGCTCTCCCGTGGCGTAGGTGGTGCAGTACGAGCTGGGCTATGTCGTCTGTGCCGCCGTGGCTCTGCTCTTCACCGTGGCTGTGCCGGTGGCCGGGATGTGCTTCTGCTACTGCCGGAGCCGGCGGCGGTGCGGGGGCCGCCTCCGCGCCCACCGGCGCTCTCTGGGCTGCCGCCGCCGCTGCCTGCTGGCCTGCCTGTCCTTCACCTCCCTCGTCATCCTGTGAGTCCCCCAAATCACCCCCCAAAACTCGCAATGGGTGGGGGGAACCGCGTCCTGAGGGACGGGGAGGCTGCGCCGGGCAGCACCGTCACCAGCTGCTCATCCCCCGCAGGATCAGCGTCACCTGCGCCTTCGTCACCAGCCAGCGGGTGAAGGGGCAGATGGAGCCGGGGCTGGGGGCTGTGCCCTCCACCCTGCGCACGCTGCGACAGCACCTTGCCAATGTCCCCCAGGTGGGTCCCCGAGCAATCTCCCCCGCGGCATGGGGCGCTGCCCAGGGATGGCCGCATTTCCCTCAGGGGATAGTTTGGCAGGCAAGAGGAGGTGACGTGGCTGCATTAAAAATGTATCTTGAATGGCAATGCGGGGCTCTACCCCTTCCTGACCCGCTCCCCTTTCCTGGCAGGGGGTGCAGATGGTGGTGGACAAGTTCGAGGTGCCCCGAAAACAGATAATCTCCGACCTGGCTGGTAAGCATGGCGCTGGGCGGCACCCCGAGCTTGCCCCGGGGATGGATGAGGCGCTGACGGTGCCTCGGTGCCTTTCAGGGCTCAGCCGGAGCGTGGGGCTCTCCATCCACGGGCAGCTCAAGGCCATGACCTACGCGGCGCTGGCGGACCTGCAGGACAGGGCCGGAGGTACGGCTGGATCGCGGCTGTCCCCGGGACCGCCACCGGGACCGCGACCGGGGCCGAAGCCTCGCCGGGGTGGCCGAGCGGAGCAGCGTGAACTAGCCCTGGGCTTTCTCTTTAAGACCTACGGACCTCGCTGCACCATTTACAGATTCTGCACAGGACGACGCGGGCGCTGGCGGCGGCGCGGGCCGAGCTGGAGCCGGCGCTGCGGGAACGAAGGAACCGCGTGGTCGCGCTCCTGGACGACCCGCGCTGCACCTCCTGCGCCAGCGTCCTGGGCAGGGCACAGGGCCTGGAGCTGGGCGCCGACTACGGCAAGGTGGGCACGGGGGCCTGGTCCCCCAGTGTCACCTCCTCACCCGGCTGTCCCGGGGTTCACGGGTCCTTCTCCCACTCCAAGGTGCCGTCGGTGGAGAAGGTGTTGAAGGCGCTGGCCGGTCTGCCCCGAAGTGACTTTGCGGAGATGATTCGCCAGGTTGGGGGGTTGGGGTGAAGCGGGGGGAGTCCAGCACGCGCAGGCAGCTCCAGCTGAGCTGCTCAGCACCCCCTCTTTCCTTGCAGGGCAATGGCACCTTCAACTCCATCCCGGAGCTGGCCGTGGAGAGGATGGCGCAGGTCATCCAGGGTGAGTGGGGCTGCCACACCGCGTGGGGACATCCTCCACGCGCTGAATTCCAGCTGCGGACACAGGGTGGGACGCAAGGACCGTCCACCCCTCCAGCACAGCCTTGGCCCTGCAGATCTGAGGGGCGATTTGGCCCGCACGGCGGAGAAGGTGCAGTCCATCGCCGATGGCTTTCCCCTCCCCGACTACACGCGGCCCGTGAGCGAGGCGCTGTTGAAGGCGGAGGAGCGGAGCCAGCCGTACCTGCGGGAGGTGGAGCGCTTCGAGCGGTACAGGTGACGCTTGGGGCAGGACGGGGCACAGGGGGTGCAGCAGAGCAGGGCAGCGAGCTCCGGGTGTCTCAGCCCCGCATCTCGAGGCTGTGCCCTGCTGCTGTTCCCTCCAGGTGGATCGCGGGCACGGTGCTGTGCTCCATCATCCTCCTCATCCTCGCCTGCAACGTGACGGGAATGGCCCTG